ATGTTCCCAGGGCTCTGGTCCCTGCCCAGAAAGCAGGCAGGGGGTGATGAGCTGCTTGCTGTGGCCGCCAGCAACCACCAGACAGCCAAGCCCAAGGAGGCCACTTTGGCCCAAGGGGCTGCCACGCAACCCCCAGACCCCACTCCCTTCTTCCAAGCACCCACCTGGATCCTCTACTCCCACCCCACCAGCTCCATGTCGCGGGTCAACATGGGGGTTCACCTCAGCACCTTCCCCAGGGATGCAGAGAGCTGGACCGAGCCCTGGGTCATCTACGAGGGCCCCAGTGCTTACTCAGACCTGGCTTACATCCAGCTGCCCTACGACGAGGCCACCATCTCCGGGGGCCCAGCTGTGGCCTTCGCCTGCCTCTACGAGAACGGGGCGCGCTCACCCTACGAGCAGATCTCCTTCAGCATGTTCACCCTCTATGATGTTCTCCAGAACATCCCCCTGGCAGCTGCTGCTCCCCGGCAGGCTGGTGGCCCCCCCTGCCCCCGGAAGAAGGGACAAAGGGCTTGTCTCATCTCCTAATGACACCCCAACCAGGTCAGGTTGTCACAGACATCCCCCCCCCACCCCAGAGCTCAGCACCTTGGGCCACCAGGAGGAACGTGCTGCCTTCCCCAAACTGGGTTGTATCTCATTTTTTATGGGTATTTTTTTAGCTTCAGAGGTGGTCGGACTACTCAGCCTGGCCCTGGGCTTCTTTCTGAGCATGAGCCACTCTAGGAAATACACAGAATGGGGGACAACAGCAAGAACAGGACACCCCAGCTCACCTGCATGGGCCAGGTTGCTGGTGGGGACACACAACATGGTGGCACATGGCCCTGCCACCCAGCTCCACGGGTTTTCCTCCCATGAGCATAAATATTCATGTTCCTTTTTTAATTGCTCCTGTTTCCCGACCCTGTCCAAGCTGATCCCTCCTCAGCGCTCCCTCTGAAGTGACCCAGTTACTGGTTAATCTGGTTTATTGTTTCTTTTCTTTAAGCTACTGTAGCTGTGCTTTCCTCTGACCTTCTCCAGGTTGGAGGCACATGACCCGTGTCCAGGTCTGCTCCCAAGCTTGGTCCCTGCCTTGTTTTTAGTGGCAGAGGTTTGGGGGGG